CAGCAGCGCTGCGCCTCCTCCGCCCGCCCGGCTCGCCCTCCGCGCTTTGGGCCGAAGGTGGAGCCTGCGTAGGGGAGGCAGCCGCATATCGCCCGTTTTCTATTTACTTCTCACGTGTCAACCTCTCAGCTCCCAAACCGCCACTCCTTCTGCCCCGGCCTCGGATGCAGGGCCCTGGGGAACCGACTGGCTGGACTGACGGAGGCTGATGCTCCCAGGGGAGAACTACATCAGCGTCCGGAGAAAGGGGTAGCGGTGGAGGCACAGTCCCCCGCCGCTGGTTCTCCATCACTTCGCCCTCTGTCGCCTGCAAGCAAGCACCTGCCAACAGGCATTTTTGTGTGTGTCTGTCTTGGAGTTGTCAGCTGCTCGTTTTCAGTTTGTGGTGACCCCTCTCCCAAACCAGTTTAACTTCCCAGACGACGGCTTTATTTAAACCCACTATCGATTCGCGAATTAAAGGACTGTCTCTCGCTTCTCCTCACCCCCAGCAATATGTTTTCTCTTATCCTTAATTCTGAGGATCTGGAATGTAAATTGAAGGCCGCTGCTTCCCAGCTGTGCTGGAGTGAGATGCCCTGGGAGGCCTGGTGATTAAGTAAAAATGAATCTCTACCAGTCCTCTGGGGCCAGGAATGAAATTTAGTCACTCCGAAGAGTGAGAGGTTCTTTCTGAAAGGTAGCTAGCGCTTCAGTCTTTATGGTTAGTTGGGTTGAAGGGCATAATTGAAAGAAAAGAATAAGGAAAGATTAAGCTTTCCTTGGGAGCCGATTCTTAGTCATTTCACAAAACATACTTGGGGCTTTTGGTAAAGTTTTGTCGGCAGTGTCTCTAGGAAATTACTTTTGTTCCTATCAACTCATTTCTTCTGTGGCTGCCAATAAAGTTACCAGAGTCTAGTGTTGTTTTGTTGTTGTTGTTAATCCTCACCTGAGAATATTTTTCCATTTATTTTTATTTATATATTTATTTTTAGAGAGAGTGGGAGAGAGGGGAGAGAAAGAAACATTGTGTCCTTGACCGGAATTGAGCCCTGGGACACTTCAGTTTGAGGGCCAACACTCTATCCACTGAACCAAACCGGCCAGGGCAGAGTCTAGTTTTTAATTTTGCCATTAGCTCCAAGTAATTGAGGGGTTGTTATGGCCAGATGCTATTGCAGTCACTTTACATGTGTGTTAACTCATTTACCTCGGCAGCCCTACAAGATTGGTACCATTCTTATCCCTATTTTACAGACAAGAAATGATAAGCAATAAAAAGTTTGGATTACCTGTGCAAGGTCATACTTATGTCAAGAAATGGCACCAGGATCCAAATTAGCATTATTGTTCCAGAGCCCACACTCTAAACCACTATTAAACTTTTTGCAGACATATGGCATATAATAGTACAGTGGGGCCTTGACTTACGAGTGTCCCGACTAACGAGTTTTTTGAGATACCAGGTGTCTCTCGGCCGATTTTTTGCATTGAGTTGATAGAGTAGTTTGAGTTAACGAGCTCGGTCTCAGAACGAATTAAGCTCGTAAGTCAAGGCCCCACTGTAGTTTTCCTGTTCTGCCTGAAGATATTCTTGATCAAGTGAAATTAACTAACCAGGCTGTAAGTGCCCTTAATCTTTAGAACAAGGATATTTCCAGGGGCTTGGAATTTATATTGATTGACAAGCTCTAAACCAGCCGTGGGCAAACTACGGCCCTTGGGCCGGATCCGGCCCGATTGATATGAATAAAACTAAAAAAAAAAAGACCGTACCCTTTTATGTAATGATGTTTACTTTGAATTTATATTAGTTCACACAAACACTCCATCCATGCTTTTGTTCTGGCCCTCCGGTCCAGTTTAAGAACCCATTGTGGCCCTCGAGTCAAAAAGTTTGCCCACCCCTGCTCTAAACCATTTGAAATGCAACTGCTTGGATTGATTCCACAGGTATCTGAGATACAGCTCACTAAGATAATAGATGGGTGGGTGTTCTGTGGAAGAGAGAGGAAGGGAGAAGGGACAGCAGAAATCAATTCGATAGTATTTTCTGCCTATGCAAGTCCAAACACTGAGGAATTCTGATCTCTGACCTTGGGAAAGCCAATGCAGAAGAACCAAGACAGAGTGTTCCAGTGTAGACCAGACAGTGAATTCTCTGTTAGAAGCCCCAGAGAAACAAGAGGGATGACCCTAAGACTGGTGGAGGGAGAAGTAGGATCCTGGTCCAGGAGCCAAATTTACTGTGAATTAAAGGCACAGCCCCTTGCTAAGTCATAAAAGTTGATGGCTGACATCTAAAGAGCATTTACTAATCACTTCCCTTTACTAATCCTGCTCTGCCAGCACCTGGCCTTCAGCTTGGGGGGGAGGATGAGGCATGTAGGACTTAAGTGAACAGATGACCATATGAACAAACACTACCCCAGAAATGGGGTAAAGATTGCTTTCCTTAAAAGTGACAGTCTAAGTCAGCGGTTCTCAACCTGTGGGTCGCGACCCCTTTGGCGGTCGAACAACCCTTTCACAGGAGTCGCCTAAGACCATCCTGCAGTTCAGATATTTACATTACGATTTATAACAGTAGCAACATTACAGTTATGAAGTAGCAATGAAAATAATTTTATGGTTGGGTCACAACATGAGGAACTGAATTTATTTATTTATTTATTTTTTAAAATATATTTTATTGATTTTTTACAGAGAGGAAGGGAGATAAAGAATTAGAAACATCGAACAGCTGCCTCCTGCACATCTCCCACCGGGGATATGCCCGCAACCAAGGCACATGCCCTTGACCGGAATCGAACCTGGGACCCTTCAGTCCGCAGGCCAACGCTCCATCCACTGAGCCAAACCGGTTTCGGCAAGGGGAACTGTATTTAAAGGGCCAGAAGGTTGAGAACCACTGGTTTAGAGTGTTAGTTACTTTCCTAATATAGTGTCCTATGTTCTAGTACTTAGATCAACCCCTCCACCCCCAACACACACACACACACACACACACACACACGCACCCTGTTTGTGGAGGACTTTTCATTAAGGGTACTTTTGAATGTGGTTTGTATCTGGGCTATAGTAAAACTAAGGAGAATTCTAGAACAGCTATTTAATAAAACCTTGTTTCTCAAATTCAGGTTTATCTATCCAGGGAAAACACATGACAATACAATAGCAACATTCTTGCCTAGCGCACTAATGCACTTTGCAATTACCTTCTGTGAGAAACCTTTTTGAATTTGAGGCAGTCACATGGAGAATAAAGGAATTTATTTTCTGTTAACTTTTTCATGACATTAATTAAAACTGAGTAGCTGTAAATGCAGCGATTCAAAATATAAAAATGTCTAAAATGAACTGGGAAAAATACTTTTCATTTGTGCTGGATTAAAAAACCACATTCAGCTGGCTGGCATTGCTCATGGTTGAGTGTTTACCTATGAACCAGGAGGTTATGGTTCCATTCCCAGTCAGGGCACATGCTCGGGTTGCGAGCTCTGTCCCCGGTAGGGGACACACAGGAGGCAGCCAATCAATGATTTTCTCTCATCATTGATGTTTCTGTCTCTCTTCCTCTCTGAAATCAATAAAAATATTTTTTTTAAAAAAGAAAACCACATTCATAGTTGCTTAGAGGAAGAAATAATAGCATCTGTAAATGAATGATACTTTGTGACACACTTATTTTTACCAGTGCTTGTTTCATCAACCAAATTCAAACTTCTGAATACATTCTTTTCAGGTACACCCGAAATCTTGTGGATCAAGGAAATGGAAAATTTAATCTGATGATTCTATGTTGGGGTGAAGGACATGGCAGGTAATACAACTATTCACAGATTTTTATTAGAGTGTCTATTCCAGAATATGCAGTGTACAGTGCCAGGCTGGCCACAGTCTTGAGAGAACTAACAAATCTCATTTTATAATTATTTGTCCCCTAATCCTAACAAAAAAATCGCATGGGAATTAGCATGAAGGGTTTAGGCATACACCATGAATATCAAAACCAGCCCCCAAAATGAGTAATAAATCAAATAGGTGGTAACCAGTTTAACTTATTCTCTCTACAAACTTTTATGGGATTGTGCTAAAACTTGACTTTTGTATTTTGAAGTGTGTAAATAATGGTGGGACTAAAGACCTAAGTGTCCAGATTTGGAGCTAGAAAAGCAATTCACGAATTGAGACAATTTCTTTTCACTTCAAGTTTATGGTTTTCTTTCTTTATATAGAGAGTAAGGCAACTTAAACTAATATCAATTCTTTGAAACTTGGTTCCTTAATTGTCCTTAGTTTAAACATTTGCCAGCATTATTACCAATTGAGTATTAGTATCTCTTTAAACAGATCCTTCTCAGTCTTTTGAGAATGGCAAGACAATAATCCAGACCCATTTTTGATGGGAGAAAGGAAACAGGAGTTCATAAGGTTTTGGAAAATTAGGTTTATAGAATACATTTATATACTCATATAGAGTGGAGCAGTTTTCCCTTAGTCAATATTTTTTCAAAGCAGATTACATATAAAGAGTAGGACTAGGCTCTGTGAATTTAGGAAACAAGTTCTTCCTATGGTACATATGTATATATTTTAATCAACCCTACAGCTAATCCTACTTAATAACTTAAATACTATTTACTATAAGCTTATATGAATATATTATTTTCCCAAATCAAATTTACTTTCTTTCCCCCGCAAATATTGGGATGTAATCATAGGTAGAATACTCTAAAGCTATAAAATGTTAACATTATATATATATA